TTAATTCAAAGTCTGTTATATTATTGTAGTTATACATAAAGTATTGCAAGTTGTTCAGTCTCACTGGTTTCCAGGTTAGCAGAACTCCCACCTATGTTCTGTGCTTAAACACCAAAGCAAAACAGCATTCTGTATCACACTTGATCCACTCCCCCTTAAAACGCCCTGAATGCCATTTCTCTATGGCTGCAAAGTCTTGTGAAAGTAGACATCATCAATAAAAGGAGACTAAATAATGTATATATTCTTTCAATGGTATCCATGACTTGTTAATATCCTACCAGCAATGAAAGAAGACAAAAATGTAGAAACAACACTGGAAAGATGCAGGAGTCACCAAGTAGCTGATTGTGTAGCAAAACTACACAAATATTTTCTGGCTTTGTGTCCAATCTCATCTTTTATATACAAAACCGTAACTTTTGTAAAATGGAAATGTCTTTCCCAGCAGCAGACTCCCTGTGAGAACTCTGTGTGCTTGAAATGAGAAGGAATTCACATATGTGCACCCAGCCCACTAGTAGGGCCTAAAAAAGAAGAGACTATGTTTCCTCCACAACTGCGAGTTCAGCAAATATGCTGCAATAGCAGCCACAACACTGCTGTCCTTTCTGGGAAGATGAGCTAACATTTAAGCATGGACGATACCCTGGCCCACCCTTAGGCATTCCTAAGTGCCAGCCTCCTTAATCAGCACTGATTGAAACCTTCTGGAATGCACACAGCCAGACTACCAGTGCCACTATGCTCCACCAGCTCACCCTGGCCTCTCAAATATTCTCATTCCCAGTGTGGAAGAGGATGCTTGCATTGAGTCAAGCTAAGGGTAGATGACATAAGTGCCTATGCTCGTCTTTGTGTTACATTTCTTGGATTTCAAGAGCAGGCAACTGGTGCAAACAGCTACAGCACACTGCGGTGGTCCATCAACCTCAACATGCATCACAAACCAGACCAGAAAAATTTACCTGCCATGCAGTCACTTCATTATATGAATGGGTATGGCCATGCATGGCTTGACACACCTACAAACAACCTGGCAGAATAACTGGCTTTGTCCCTTCAAAATAGACCACTGTTTTTCTTTCATCCTGTTTCCAGGGCACAGTATCTTCTGTGGTACTTGCTCTTGAATTGCTGACAATTCAGTCCTACTCACTGGAACTGAACTGACTTTTTTGAATCCTATGGATTTTTCTTGAATTACAGTATTTAAAAAAATAAGACCTAGCTAGTATAATGATGGCTTACTATATAAAACAGAAATGGAGCACATTCTTAACTAATGAAGGTCCTCTAACTTAAATTTTGTTTTCTATCTTATTTGTCTCTGTGGACACTACCTAGTTTACCCTCACTCTTTTCATCTGATAGACTGAAAGCTTTTGGAGAGCAGGGACTGTCATTTATTGTATGTCTGTAAAGGACCTAGGCCACCAAAGCCCAAAGGTTTGAAGTGCTACTGAATTTCAATGTCCACATCAAATAATGAGGATCTTTGACTGCTCTTTCTAGCAGACACAACTTGTAGTAGCTGTATTTAATGATGAGAAGACTTTTTGAAAGTAGTGTCTTCATTTCTTGGAAAAATATATAAAGAACATAGTCAAACCATCTCACTTTGCCCTCTTGCACTGTTGGGAACTAGATTAATTACTGATCAAGCAGTCAGGCCCACTGGAGCACAACTTCCCTCTGGCCCATGGAGAGCTTCAGCAGCAGCAGCAAATGCCACAGCCAGCAGGACGCTGCCCAGCTGCTGTGGGCTCTCCCTTTGCGTGCCCAGGATTCCTCTTTCTGCAACAACTGCACGGTTCCACTAATCCAGTGCCTTTAATAAAGCTTTGTAAGTGAAATGTAACATCAATCTCAGACATTCTGTTTGACTAAAAGTTGAGGAAATATGATGGTGGGACACCAATGCAAAAACTACCAGTCCTGTACCAAGGAAAAAAATTGCACTGTTTTTGGAGGAAACAAACAAAAAATCCCTCAGGATTCTGGAAGGAAATAGCTGCAGCAACTGAGTATTAATGCACACAAAGTGAGAAAGCCTGATTAGTAGTTACACCAAAAGATGAAATACGCAAAAATTTTACCCTGTGGATGAAAGTCACCATGAGCCAGCCTTAACTCACTGAGATAGAATTCCCTATCCTGATGAACAATTTTGGCCTCAAGGTACCAGCTGCCTATTAGACTGCCCTGCAGGTCCTGTGTGCTGTTTGTACACATATTTCCTTTCACAGAGGGAGAAAGTGTATGTCTGGAAATATAGAAAATATTATTAGATACCAAAATCTCAGTTGATACAGATTTGGAGTAAAACTACTGATGGCTGTTACCGTCCACTTACCCCTCTGCATATTTAGATATAGTCACCATCATGGCTAGGGTCTCTTTACTGGTAGTGCTCACATTAAAGCCCAGCTAGATCTGACATTCAGGAGTAGTTCCAAGCCATTTCTATCAGGATGGAGGGATTAGTTAAAGGCAGAAGACTTCCTGTGAGAGTGCTAGAGAAATGTCCCAAGCAAAGGAAGCCAAACTTGGCAGGTTCTGTGCCCATACTGTTGGTCCAGAGCAGACCCTGAAGCAAATTAGCCAGCCAGCAATGCCTTATTTACCCCCCTGTCCCTCTTCACAAGGAATTACTTCTCCAATGCTGGTAGGGATACTGAATTCATTAGCATATATGTGGTGTGAACAATCAGGAGACTTGAACCTGGGGCTAAAGTGGGAGCCAAATTATTTGATGCTAAAACACACTCAGTGAGGAATAGTGAAAGGGCTCGAGGAAGTACCGGGCAACTTGACATCAAAAACAGTATCTGTGGTAGGAAGTAGAAGCAGAGCAGAGTAGCTTGCAGTGTTTTTATATCCTTTCCTTTATATGGCTCTGTTGGCACACTGGGATGTAGACGAGCATGTCCTGCTGAGAAAGGAAGAGATGTGACAGGACTGAGGAATGGTGAGCCCAGGGCACGATCTCGCATGCTGAAGTGGTTCTGGCTGTTTCGCATTAAATGCACATGTCCACGCTACCAAGCACAAGCAGATCTGCCTATGGATGAACCATTTTCTTTTACAAAGACAAATAAGCAAAAGATTAGTTTAAAAGCCTGCTACAACTGTTGCACAATAAAAACAAATAACAAGCTTTTAGGCTTAATTGCTTCGTCAGTTCATTCAGGGAGTAAGGTATTCTGAGCCTGAGAGCTTGTCTGTTTCTTTTCCACTTACATCCATTTAACTAACAAACAGATCTTTCTCCAGATCTTATTTATATTATATTATTCCAGAATGGATACAAAGCTCCCCATCTTCCAAAACATTAAAAGTCTAGCATTTAAAGAGAGAAGATTATTAAGTTTGAATTCTGCAAAACATGAACTTCCTTCCATTACTAAAAATTAGTCAAATTTATCAATCTCTGGGAAGAACAAGTTTGCTTATCAAAACTGAGACAACACTTGAGAGACTTTCTCTGAAGAGAAAACTGTTATGGACACCTGGTTGATGGGACCAGGTTCTCTGCCCAACAAAAAACACTACATAGATAATCTAGAAACAAGCTACCAAGAACACCTTTATCCTTGTAAAGCCAAGCTACATTTCAGAACAGCCTTATGGCTGCTCCAAGTTGCACCTTATAATCTGTGCTTATAAAGAAGCTGCCTTGGATATAAACTGCAAGAACATACAGCCAGTAAACCCTGGCTACACCCTGAGTCCTCCTTTTCATTCTCTGAAGGCCAAAGATGACTGTGGTATAACAAGATTCAAGAATGCCTTCTCCTCTAGGTAATATCTGAGCAGAATTTGATCCTACAGATGCACATGTTAAAGCCAGTCATTTGGACTTCAAAACCTGATTATAACTTTTTTTGGAAAGCATTTGACACATTTTGTCTTTGCCATCATGTAGAAGTACTACTATTTCCTTATAAACATTGTCTACACAACATTGTCACAGAAATAAAGCTTTATATAAATGCTAGAAGTTAGTGGTTCTGTTTTCCTTAAAGGTGAATTTTCCATAAAAAGTCTTGTTCCAGCACTAATTGCAAAATTAGCAAGCTTATGAGTAATTAGATTGGGGTGTTAAATCATTAATGTTCCTTAAACAAAACTCCTAATTAGGACACACCACATATTTCTCTACAATCTAGATCTGACAAACAGCAAAAACTTTTATTTTCTAGCTGATATCCAGGACACTGCCAAGGAAATATTAGGCACTCATAGTACTCCCTTCAGGAAGGCTCATTTGACTTGCACAATTACAGGCAAGGATGTCTATGCCCCTTGACTTTGATACCAAAGCAGACTGGCATAGTAGAGAGAGTCATGGCTGTAAATTCAGATACCTACCTCCAGAATGGTATTCATCTCTCTCTTTTGATGACACAGGAGGTCTGGGCACTTGCTCAGATTGAGCTTTTGTGATGGAATTTAGCTGCTGATACCATAAAAATGTAAATCTCTCAACAAAATCCCACCTTCTACATAGAATTTCTCAGACTCTAAGATAAATGCAGTTGGATAGATGCTTTTGTTTTATTACACCTAATAAAACACCACCTGACACAAACACATCTCAACTGAGAATTGATCCACAATAAACTACTGCAATACAAACACAACAGTTACAACTTTTTTACAGCCCCTTTACACCAAAGGTACTTAACTGCTTCAAAACAAGCCCCACAATTACACTGACATTCCACACATCCTGCAGGCAGTCTTTCCAAACATTTTGTACCTTGTTTGAATTTTAAAACACAATAATCCATTTTCTCAAAAAAGCAGTTGCACAGATTTCTAGGTAGCAGAACCTTTTTTTTTAAGGTTTACACCAGTTTATTTCAAGTCCACTGAATATCATTTCACATGAACAAAGAATTTCTATTTGCAAGAAACATTTCACCCCCAGTTTGACAGTGCCCATCATAAAAACTAATGTGTCTTCTGAACCACAAGCAGTACCTTTCAGTTACCTGGATTTTACTGTCTGAAGTGGTTTTGTTGTATGCTCGTGCTGCAGCTGCAGAACTTTTTCTCTCAGCAACTCACTTGAGAGGGACTTAGGCCTAGAAGCACCAGAAAAATTAGCATGGCTACCATAGTGCCAGTGAGGCTTTATTGTTGAGATTGTTTAATTAAATCTTAGTCCAACTTTAAGCATCCCTTTTTATGTAACACCACAGTAACTAGCCCATTAAAAAGATTCACATTTGCTATATCCCTTAGAAAAAAATCTCAGTCATCTCTTCCTACAGCACAATGCAGAAAACTAATTTTTTATAATATTTTTCTGTTACTGCAACTTACAATAAAATCAGTTGTTTTCCAGTGGATACATTCAACCCTTTGTATTAAAATATTCATTCAGACTGATGGAGATGTTCTGACTGAAAGCAGGTTGGGTGTTTTTTTCAGAAAGAACAAGTTTTGCTGAAAAAAAAGCCTTTCTACAAATGGTATTGCAAATCTAGTATGCAATTTTGGGGGAAAATGTAATGATCACAGATTTTAGCTACATTACTCAGTAACTGAGTCTTCACATTGTCACCATCAGGACCTGAAGCCAGGTCCAACACTTCAGGTTATACACTTTGCTTTTATGATCCCAAATATTTCTGGAAAGAGAAAATTCTTTCCCTGACCAAATTGATATAATGTTTGCATTAACACTTCCAGGAATTAGAGAGTGTTATTTTAAAGTGAAATATTTAGAATGAACAAAAGCTAAAATCCATTTTCCAACCCTCCTCTTCTGCATGTGTAATAAGACATGCCAGGAATATACATACTAACAGCCATTAATTAGCACATGATTTATTAATAATTGCTCCACAAAAAGGCTGTGTGAATAGTTCTATATATACACAAATATTAATATTTATTTGATTGTTGTGAAATGTCTCAAAAAAGCTAAATTGATTAACAGCTATGCTTGGCACCACATGAAACACACACCTTAAGGAAGATTAACAAATCTAAGAGCAAAGGTTAGAGTTAGATGCCTGCTAGGATGGCTTTTTTCATCATATTGAGCAAAAAAATATTTGTCACCTTTTTCAGAAAGATGCAAAAAACTGTAATTCACGTGAATTACAGAGTTGTAAACCAGCAGGTCTGTCCCAACAAATGGCAAGTGTCTCTAGCAGCTGCTGTTGTTGCCAATATGTGATAACACAATATACCCAGGTACCATCAGCTGCATCCCCAGCTATTGCTAATTTTGTGCAGGATTATAATATTTTTCTGTGTTTGCTAGGTACAATTATTTTAATAACAGTCAGTAGCAGAAAGAAGGTGAGGTGGAAAAAACACAAAGAATGTGCAAGTGAGGTTTGCTAGACTATGATCAGAAAGACATCAATAAGCCAACACAGAGGATTGAAACGTTACTGACAGACTATACAGAGTGGACCATGCTGCTTTTTTGGGGTTGAGTTTCTTTGTTGTTGGTATTGTTCAGTTTTTGTTATGTTTTGTTGGGGTTAAGTCAGATGAGAAGCTTGATATTTTGTCACTTTTTTATAGAACTGGACAAAGAAATCATGTTCACAAAAATCTGAACAAAAGCGGTATTTACATTGGAAGAATGTTTTCTGTTGTATCTCACAATTGAACAAAAAACCCTTTTCTGTGCATATGTATATTGAAAATACATTTTCAAGAAATCAGCCTGAAGCAACTTGTTGGTTAGCAAAATTGTGAGAGACAGAAGAGGCTGGTGTTCAAATCTGTAATTAATTGCAATTGAAGTGTCCCATTTTTAATGGCCACTTACCTTATGTTCATTTTGTCAGAGCTCCCATATCTAAGGTAAGAAACCATTCCTTTCCAAAAGAGTAAAAATGTGGTTGAAGCTGCTGTTCTGTCATTTCATGACAAAAATATTTTGAGGCAGCTTTAAACTAGATGGCCATTTTCCTTGATATGAGACCTTCCATAAGCATGGTATTTTATAGATACCTTCAAGCAGGGATCTGAATTTAGCACTAAGATCTTGTTTACAGGGGTGAATGCCAATTGCTTTTCATCTCATTATGCTGGTTTGAAATAACAGCACTAACTTAAAAGTAACATAATGACAACATAAAATGCAAGAGCTCTTTCAAAGCAGTGCAATAAACCATGATGGTCAGTTGCCTCAACCAGCACTACAAATTCCAAGTAAATTAAGCTCCATTGAATTCCTACTGTACAATTACAGAACATATGATACCTCGTGTAGACATGTTCAAATAACTGTACACTTCCAGCTGGAATTATTTAGATCTCCCATTTCAAAATATTTCAATGTTTATTCTTGTTACATATTAAATACAGGTTCTGCATACTATACATCAAACATTATTGCTAGTACTTAGAAAATTATTCCATAATCAGGAAAGATTCAATTCATAATGAAAACTTATTATAACAGAGACAAAACATTTAAAGCCAGTTGCTGTCTGGAAACTGAGCTCTGGCCTAACCTATGTAACATTAGACAATTGGCTTCCTCTCTGTTCCTTCCTCTTACAAATTGCTTGCTGTACCTGTGTCATCTTTTGAGGCCAAGGACTGGCTTTCTCTTTGTGTAATGTGATTTGCAGCTGGGATTTCTGAATGCTGCCACAACACAAAATTACTGCAATGGTTCAGAGCTCTGCTCTGTGAATTGCCCTAATCCCAGTCTTTATTGGTACTTTTAATGGCACCCCCTGCTGTTACTGAACAATAGCCCACTCAAGAGAACTTGTCCCATCACTTTGAATCTATTGTAAACACACACATAGATACATGTACTACTTACATAACATGCTTTTATTATTCCTTTTATTTTTTTTAACCTCGGGCACATCTCAGATGCTGGCAATGGAATCTAGAACGTTTTTATACTCACAAAATCATTCCCAAAGCAAAACACCACCTAAAAGGGGTACTACTTCAGCACTGCCCCTCATTTTTAGTGTAACGTACTGATAAAAGCAATATCAGGACTATAAGTGGAATTTATAGAAGAATAGAAAGCTCAACAGGAGAATAGTCTCTTACAAAGTTGTGGGAACAGAAGTCGAGAGAAAACACGATCTGCCTGAGATTCTGCCCAGGAACAACCCACAGCAGGAGACAAAAGTTCCTAAACTCACTGTGTAAACACCTAAATTGCAGCATACCTCTCCTCCTGAAGCACACGGGATTACCCTGACACGCTATTCGCTATCTTGCCAAAGGGAAGGAAAAGTCATTTTTCCCGGAGCGTTTCTCCAGATCAGGATCCCACTGCCAGCAACCGCAGCCCTGGGGTAAAGCCAGGGCTGCTGGTATCCAAGCTCGTAGCCGCAAGTTTCCAATGGCGAAACCCGGGAGCAAGAAGAGATCCTGCCCGGCACGGAGAGGGTCAGGGGTGAGGAGCCACCTGAGGGGAGATGGTGCTGCAAACCAGCCTGACGCTAACATTGCTCTGAAGTCCTTCTGTCAACCATTCGGGAGGCACACTCCCACAAAAGATTGGGATTTAACCGACTGACACTACCAATGAAAGAAAATGTTTATCAGAAAATCTCCATCCAGCTGCCCGTCAGCACAGATTTCCACCAGCGGAGTGGCAGGATCGCGACAGCCTCTGCGCCCCAGCCGGGGGCTCGGGAAGGGCAGCGGCGTGTCCACAAAGGAGCTGGTTGAAAGCAAAGTGTCCGTCTGACGGAGCCTGGGCTAGTTCCCTGCCCGCAGCACACAATGAGCCGGGCTGAGCCCCGCACCGCCCTGACCCCGAGCTTCCCTGGCTCGCTCCCCACCGGCAGCGCGGGCGGCTCCTGCCGCCCCGGCGGGGCCACGGGCAGGGCACGGACACACGGACAAAAAGGAGCGCAGAACAGATGAAAAAGCACACACACCACCACCCTTTCTTCTCTCCCCTAATACTCACAAGAGATCACCAGCCAAATCCGTCCGCAAAAGGCGCCCAATATCAGCCCGCTCCCGGAGCGGGAGACCGGCGGGCATCCCCCGCTGCGGTGCGCGCCTGCCGGGCCCCCGCCGCCCTCCTCCCTCCTCCCTCCCTCCCGAGGGCGGCTCTCACCTCGGGGGGACGAGGCCGGGCTGAGGGGCCGCCTCTCCGCCGGTGCCGGGCAGCGGCTGTGCGAGGCACACTTCCACTTTCTCTGGGGGTCTGTCTCTGCCGTGCCGAGCAGAGCCGTGCGGGGCCGCGCCGCCTCTGCCTCCCCCGGCACTCCTCCGCCCGCCCCTCGCCGCCGCCTCCCCGGAACGCGATGCGAGGCGAAGCGGAGCGAAGGGAAGGGAGGGATGCGGAGGGACGCGAAGCGGTCCCAGCTGCCGGGCGGCCGGGGGCGGCTCTCCCGGCACCGCCCCGCCGCTACCTGCCGGGGCTGCCCGGGGGCAGCGGGGCGGTCAGAGGAGACAAGAGACACCCCGCACGCCAGCAGTCACCCCGCCGAACCCCTCCTGCGTCCCTCTGCCTCCCTTTGCAGTACTCACCTGCCGTGCTCGGAGCTCACTCGGCCCCGCGGGGCACGCCGCAAAGGGCTGATGCTTTTTCGGGCTTTGACATGCTTTGTCCGCCCCTCTCCTTCGGTAAGCTGCTCGAAGGAAGAAGTCCGGGAAGGCTGTGTGTGTGGGAGCAGTCTACATGTACTTCAACACAACAAAGACCCACTTGATTCCCTAGTGGCACCTAATGCCCAACAAATGGGAATGAAACGATGGGAATGTCATAATTATCACCCTGTGAAATGGATGCAAAATCAACACTTCTTATGAGGTTGTACTTAGAGAACAAAGGGCAGCTTGGATGCGTCTGTTTCTGTCCTGGTACTATAAGCAGCTTGCTCACACCCTACTGCTTTAGAGCTGTGTTTCCTGGCACTGTAGGTAGAAATCTTGCAAAAACATAAAGGCAGGGAAGTTACAAGTCACAGTGACTGTCTTTTGCCACCTTATTGAGTAAGGAGACTGGCTGTTAAGATATTTTGCCCACAGATGAGAACCCTGCCTAAGTTCTAGCTAAAGTGCACATCAGAGCTGCTCTTTTCTATGGAGGCTTAACAGGAAGCATCCTAGAAAAGTCCTCACTAGATACTGCCCTACACAACACACACTATGTAGTCTTCCACTACATCCTCTCAATAGGAGCCATCTTTGCTGTCCTAGCAGGATTCACCCACTGATTTCCTCTGTTTGCAGGGTATAGCCTATACCCCACATGGGCCAAAATTTACTTCAGGGTTGTATTTACAGAAGAAAGAACTATCTGCTCCCACAACCCTTTCTAGACCTAGCTGGCATGTCAATGATACACAGAATATCAACATAGCCACACACTATAAAATACTAGAGATTATAAATTCCTACGTGTTAGATTACCCTTCACTCGGTCTTGAATGGTCCCTGTTTAGCTGATGATGGCATCTGCACTGCTGACTCAAGTTTGGTTGTATGGGATATAAGTAGTTGTCCCTCATTTAAAGCTCAATTGTGATCCACATGTAAATAGTCTATATCTGAAATACACAAGTTTTTCCAGAGAAGCTCAAGATAGCAATCATGGATCTGATCACAGCTATCTTCACATGAGATTATAGGGACCTGGTATGCAACTGAACAGTTAGTGTCCCTGTAGCCAGATTAGATACAGGTAGCAGGGCGTGTGGAGTGCAGTCTAGAGGGCAGAGCACACACTTCCTTACATCTAGAAGCTGAACCAACACACAAGAGTAAAGAAACTACAAGGATTGAAAGAAATGAGAGCTTAGTCTTTAACTTTGTGATTAGGAAATATCCTCCCAGAATAGTTTTTATGCTGGTATTGCACATTATAGGTATCGGAATTTGGACCTTCATTCATACTCCTGCAGGTTAGCTCCTTGAATTATGTCTTCTGGTTCCTTGACTTTGAATTCTGGCTGTCTTCTTTCTGTAGCACTTTCTTCATAAGTGGACTAAAACCCTCTGAGTCTAAGGAAGGCCTTCAATGGCTCTTTGCTTGTTTATCCAGCCCTCTAAATAATCAATGGTTATGCAAAAGGAAGGTAATTTCTTTCTTGTGCTCTGTAAGCAACTTTCATGTACAAGATCTATCATCTCCTATTGATTTTATTTCAGTACAGAAAGACCAATGTTTCAGGTAGAAAGGATCTACTAGATTTGTGATGTCTATTTTTTTTCCTTTGACTTTTTCTGTAATGCAGATTTATTTTAGAGCCACCTAATCTGTTTGAGGGACTAAGGGCTAAACATCTAAAATGGAAATGAAGCAATGATTGCGTAAAGTACCTTAGAAAAGTACTTAAAAGCCAGTATTTCATGTCAAAGTGAAATTGTTGCCAGTAGTACTGAGGTAATCCCCATTATAGCAAACATTTACATCCAAAAGTTTATTTACTAAGTGTTTCAAATTATTGAGATATATCATGTGAGACAAAACAGAGGACAATCCCTGCAAACTGAAAGACTTCCAAAAGTGAAAGTTGAAAAAGTTACAAAATAATGACAACTCTGTATCTAGATATGAACAAGCAATTCATTTTTTTGTTCTTGGAAGAAGAGAAAGGGGTGCACTGGTATAAAAAAATGTTTGCTGGTGCCTCCTTCACTTAAAAGAAAGAGATGTTTAGATGCCACAGAAGGAGACTCCAGCACTAAATGAGTTTGCTGTTTCCCCTAAAGGTGTACATTTCCAATGCACCTAAACTGGTTTGGGAGCTATTTGTTTTCCTAAAGGTGGCAGTCCAACTCCTAATGCTTCCTCTGTTGGAGCAAAATTTGAAGAAAGCTACCCATTTCTCCATAGCTAGTTTAGATGCTTGAAAATATTCTCTGAGAGTCACTGCTGGGTAGATGAGAAGGAAGCAGAGAGCAAGCAGCTGTAGGGCCAGTGAAATGAGGTGGGGATTGCCCTGGGCTGCCAGTTGCAGGTCCTCCAATTTGACTGAGCTGTCTTGTGAAATTCACCTTCATAGGAAGGGCTCAGACAAAAGACTGTACATTAAATCTGCTCTTCCTATGCTATTATTTTACATAATTCTGGCTCAATTAGCTGATAAAGACAGATTCTGTTCCTTTGTGGTTAGGGCACACTATCAGGCTGAGGGAAGACCTCACTTCTGGTGCTTCCTTGAAGAATTGATTCTAGATAATCCAACAAGGCATCATACAAAGGTTGCCTTATTTTCCCAGTGTCCTGAGTCATTCCTCCTGCATCAAATTCTCCAGCTCCAAATTCCAGTACAACATAGAAATACATGCCCAACTCTCAACACATTGGCACTGATAGCATTTTCATCACAACATAATCCCAGCAGCAGTGCTGCTCTGTGTGGTTCCTGTACCCAAGCTACTACTGCTGGCTCTGCAGGATGAAAAACTCTGCTGGGTAGATGTACTGTTTCCCAGCAGGAAAACCATATGAAAATATAATTCTAACAGTTAATAAAATATCGGATTATTCCACTAAACTGGCAACATTTAATTAAAATAGCAATATTGAATCTGTTTCCAAAGCTGATTCTTCTTCTATTAGAAGACCTCAAAGGTCAGTTTATCATCTAATGCATATAAAGCTTCCCAGTTTTTTACTTCATTAGTTTGCTGACATAGAAACATGCACAACTCTTTTTTTTGTAAATTAGACAGGAAGGCGATAAAATTAGAATGAAGGCAATAAAAATTCCCCACATCAATATTTGAATTTAGTGATATTCACTGTAAAAATAATTTGACAGATTAAAAATCCCCAAAATTCGGGTAAAATTTTTGTAAGGGTGAGCTAACCATCAACTTGTTTTAACTACATCTATTCAAACTCCAATATGAGCAGAAAGTTACTTAAGTATCATTTCCAATCTTTGTGTATTCTACAAAGAATGATATTGCTGTTCATTCATTCATTCTTGTATTGATAGTTATGAATCTAAATTGCTGTCACATTTGACACTACCCTTCAAACAAATCATCGCTCCTTGCTTCTCCCCCAGAGCATTGCCATTATATATCATCAGGGGATGAAATTCTGAATCAGAAGGAATTTGAAGTAGTGTGAAATAATCACATTCATTTCTGTAGGCTACTGTTGGTAGAAAATTCTAGTGTGGGTCCACACAGTATTTTTACAAGTAATAGCCTAGAGAGATTCCATAACAAAACATGGTCAT